ACTTTTGGCTGGATTAAGCCGCTTACCCTTCACTGCTACAGAACGGGATGAGTAACAGACTTCGGGTTTCTCCTGTAAAGGAAAGCTCTCCATTGGGCATGTCTCCTACTTGGAGGGGTAACAAAAACCTGGAGAAAGTGCAGGGAAATATTTCATGTGCAATAAAGTCCTTGATTACAAGCTCTATTTTTATTAAATATGCCAATGTAGTCCTGTGAGATTGGAACATGGTGATTAATACATTTGAGGCAATTAGGCTTTAAGTCACAGTCCTTACATTTGTTTGGTACTTTCTGTAGCATGTACACACACTGGCACAGTTAGTCTGCATTGAGGTGTAATTTATGTGTCTGCATTCTGAGTCAGTGAGTTCCCTCAGGGCACCTCTGACTACTTTACTCTCATAACCCTCAAGGGGTATACTGGGTGTAGTTCATATTTTCCTTGCTCTAGAAATCAAGTTACAAAGTAAAACTGACTGTGACCCTCAAAATCTAGCAGCCAGCAGTTCCCATTACAAGTAACAATACACTTTTCTTGCTCATGAACTGATAGTTAATATTCTATACCATTATCACAGAATCTCAATTAAAATATAGTCACCAGGCTGCAGTTTCACAGCCATTCTGCTGAAAAATATTTTCATTTTTGTTACTATTAGAAGATTGGCGACCATCTCATGCTTGGGGGGCATGTCAAATGGGGACTGTCTCAAAGCCTGTGATTTCTGAGCTCAGAGAACAGCTCAAACCCTGGGCCATTTAATAGTAAACATTTGAGGATTTTTAAAAAAAGCTATGGAACTGACTTTATTCCAACTTGGTTTGATTTATACATTTAATTAAGACTTACAAACCTAACCAAGTCTAAAGACTGTATGTACTGTTCAGTAACTTACTGTGCTGTTTGAGAAATTCCTTTTTGTATTGTGTTGTTTGACAACTAATTTATAATTACACACAAAAAACTCATTAAAAGAACATTATTAAGGTTTCAAAATCAAACACTAAAAAAATGGGAAACACCAGAATTAAGGCTGACCTGCTTCATTTGTTGCAGGAGTTGAAATACGTGTACTATTTAGGGTGACCAGATCTCCCGATTTTATAGGGACAGTCCCGTTTTTGGGATCTTTTTCTTATATAGGCTCCTATTAATCCCCACCCACTGTCCTGATTTTTCACACTTGCTGTCTGGTCACCCTAGTACTATTTGTAGTACTGGGGCAGGCTGCTCTAGGCACACCCATAACTGTAGGCCCTCCCCTTCAGGTAAAGGGGAGGAACCACTGAGCCCAGGCTACAATTGATTCTTGGGGCAACAAATGAAAAAACAGGCCTGGGAGTGAGATCAGAGGTAAAGAATGAGCGATTGAGAGGTGGATAAGGAGCAGAGTACCCCAGACAGCACCAACTGCTCCTCAAAGGGGTCTAGGAAGTCAGTGGACATGGAGGAACTCTGCTCAGAGGCATAACTGGACAAGGGAACAGAAATAGGCCCCACAGTTGTGAAGCACTTCCCGTCAAACTTCCTCCTCTTGGAGTGATGGATGGCCATTTTGGCCAGTGTCAGGAGGAGGTCCTGTGACTTTGTGGGGCCACGGATGGGCTGTGCATAGGTCAGGAGATTTGAGCAAAAATGCAACCAGAACCTCAGTAAGAGGTTCAGGAGGAGCTGGAAGAGGGGCTGCAACCTGATGCACCCTATATAGATGTGCACCAGAGTCTCCGTCTCACCGCAAAAGGGACAGGTGTTGGGGGAGTCCTTGAACTGCACCAGGTACATGCCTGGGCTCACAGCACCGTGGACGAGCCACCAACCCAGTGGGCCATGGAACCAGAGAGGAGTACAGAGTGGCCCACTGAGGTTCCTCGCCCTCTGTTGGTAGGAAAATGGATAATGAATCAGGCAGGGGATTGCAGGAAGAAAAAGTTTGGTCTCATGGTTAAGGTAGTTGAATGCTGCCCTGGAGAAATGGATTCTATCCATGTTTCTGCCACGGAGGCCTAGACCCTGAAAGGTATTAACGCACCTAATTCCCATTGAAATCAATGGCCATTCACAAATAAGTTGTTTGCCTAAATGTACTAGAAATAGCCACAATCTTACAAACACTTTTACAAGTGAAGTAACTTTACATACTGAACTCAGACTGTCTACATGCGCCATTGTTTGCAGAATCATTGTCTATACTGTTTTTATGATTTCCACACATTTGATATTTCTGCTGTTCTCAAAGGCATCTGGGTAGAAAAAATCCAAAAGGTGAAATTGACTAAACAAAAGTAAAACTCATGAGCCTTTCTCCCAGCATAGAGAAATGCAAAGGGGAAAAAAAATATCAGCATTTATTGTGAAAATTAAATTATATTTACAGTTACTTTTATATATTAGATTTTATTAGTAAATGTTGGTGAATGTCAATTTCACCATACACTGACAAACAGATGAAAAAATATTTCCATTGATAATTGAAATTTACAGACAGGTAAAGCAAGAAAAAGGCTGCTGAGAACTTCTTAGAGTTGGATTTAAGGATATTTACTTTGTATATTTAGATTGTGATGTTGACAATTTGTGTTTTAATGGTTGTACAGTTTTAACTTTTTGAATCTCGGTGTCTACTGTCATTGAATAATTATCAGACCCCCTCATTTTCTGATCCCCCTATCATTTCCAACAGTTGTAAAAATTTAAATCGATAAAAATTGAAAAAAATATTAAAACTGATAATTCTGCACAACTGTGAAAATCTAAATTGATACAAAAATACTTAAAAATAAACATTGATAATTCCATTGAAATTATAAAAACTTGAATTCTGTCAAGCCTAGTTTTAATTATCTCAGAGATTAACACAGGTAATGATTTTTTGTAATTTAATTTTTCAACTGCCATTTTCTTTGAAATTATGCACATATATCTTCCAAGTTCCAACTATTTTGTATCTGTATAGGCTTCAGAGACAGGATGTTCTGGTTCAGCCTCTGGTCTTGCCTTTGACCCCTCTGGGCCTCCCCATCAGTTATGCTTTATGTTCTGGTTATCTAATCTCCCTTCTTCAGCCACTCAGGGTGGTTTTGTAACTTGGCTTCTCATAGCTTTTCTGAACCAGCAAGCTGCAGGACTCTTACCCTACTGAATAATAGACATAATAGAGTAAATAATTCACATAGAAATAACCACACAACTCTATAGATCAAAGACCTGTAACAATGTTCTTTTCCACCCCCCTTTTAATTAGAAAGGAACAGCTATTAACCTTGGAACTATTCTTCATGTTCAAGTCTTTTTTTGCTCCTACCACTAATAAATGAGTTAATTGTGAAGGTCTTTGCATATTTCTGTGTAAAGTGCCATGTAAGTATAATTTGTGTTGTGTTGTAAACAGGTTCACGGAACTCGTTTACAAGGACATATGCCAAATGTAACAACAGTTATCCAACACAGCGTTTCCATCCTACCCCAGAGCTGGCTGCATTCCAGTGGTGGGTGAAAGGAGTTATAATTTATAAAGGGATGTTGGTGATCTTCCCGGAGGATATACATGATGTAAAATACAGCACTACCTCTGCTGCAGTAGTGACACTATCTTGGCCACCTGAATGGAGTGTTATTAGGCTGGATTCATTTTAACTCTACCCGTTTTTATTCTCCTTGCCATAACACAATGTCATATTCCAACCCATAGGGAATAAAGGAATCTCTTTATCAAATCACAGCGAATAAGCCATTTGCCTGTGTACACTTAAACAGCTTTAAGAGACCAGACTGATATCTCAATACTAGCCAAAACAGATACCCTAGCGGGACGTGCTTAACTGAAGAGACTCCAGAAGAAGGAAGCCTAGCACGAAGACCCACTCCGATTCCTTTAAACTGGGGGTAACTAGAGTGAGGAGGAGAGGAACCAAAGCGATCAGAGGGGTGTGTGTGTGTGTGTGTGTGTGAGTCGATCTTGTGTCAAAGCTGCTACGTTCGCTGACCCTCACCCCCCACCCCACAGAGCCCCCCTGCTGCTGTTGGCTGACACCACTTCCACCGCCTCCTGTCTGAGCCAAACCCTGCTGCAATTCAGCGCAAGCTCCTAAATCCTCCTCCACTTTCCTAGCCGGAGCAGCAGCAGGAGGCGCAGGAGCTCAGCGGATCTGGCAGGGTGTCCAGTCAGCGCGCTGGATTGTCTCCCTCCTCTGCTGATCATGGCTTGAGCTCGGCTGCCGGTGGAGGTGCCCGGGGTGGGGGAAGGGCTGGGTCCGGCTGCTCCCTGCAGGGGGAGCCAGGCTGCCACTTAGGTCCCGGGCGCCAAGCGCAGGTGCTGCCGCTGTTACCTTTACCTCCGGGGGAGGGCAGGGGGCTGGCGTTGCAGGTTGAGGCTGCCGAGAGAGGCGCACGCGGAAGGGAGCGGGGAACGCTCCCCGCCCCTTTTCCCCGGTACGTGCAGCAGCAGGAGCCGAGGCGAGCTGCAGCCTCGGGAGAGAGGAAGAGGCGCCGCCACGCACTGGAGCGAGCTTCTCCCGGGCGCAGCGGCTCTCGGGGCTTCTCCCGCAGCCCGGCGGGCCCCGGGGTGGGGGGACTCGCCCCCCGTGGCGCGGAGCCAGATGTGCGGGGCCGGGGGCTGGAAGGAGCCAGCCAAGCGGTGCCGTGAGCTCTGCCCTGCGGGGCCGCTGCCCCCGGCTTGCCCGCGGGACCCGTAGCGGGTGCTGGGGCAGGGAAGCCGCAGCGTGGCCGTGCGGAGCGGAGGCGGCTTTGCAGAGGCTTCCCCGAGGCGGCTCGGCGCCGGCTGTGCGGGGCTGGGGCAGGCTCGGTTGCGGCGGCTGCCGGCGGGGGGGTCTCGGCCGAGCGCGGCTTGAAGCGCAGGACAGGGGGGTCCCGGGCTGCGTGGGCGGCTCGGGTCGCCCTCCCGTGGCGTGCGGAGCCCGCGGCGCAGTCGGCAGCTCCGCGCTAGCTTTGAAGCGCCCGGCCCCATCCCACCCCCTCGGCTCTCTATGTGAGGCTCCCGGATGGCGATAGACCGGCGACGCGAAGCGGCTGGCGGAGGCCGGCAGCTGCCCGAGGAGAACGGGTCCCTGCCGGCCGGGGAGGCGGGCTCGGCGGCAGCAGCGACGCTGGCGGTGGCTCCCCCCGCGACCGCGGAGATCCAGACCCTGCCGCCGCCTGCCGCCGGCTCCTGCAGCCCCCTGCTGCTGGACTACGATGGCTCGGTGCTGCCTTTCCTCGGCGGGCTGGGCGGCGGGTACCAGAGGACCCTGGTGCTGCTGACTTGGATCCCGGCCCTTTTCATCGGCTTCAGCCAGTTCTCGGATTCCTTCTTGCTGGACCAGCCGGACTTCTGGTGCCGGGAGCCGGACGGGCAGGGCAACGGGACGGACAACTTGACCCGGGGCCTGGCTAACCACAGCCAGAGCAGCAGCGCCGGGATGCTGGGGGCCCCGGCGCTGCCCACCCCGCCGCCGGGAGACAACGCCAGCCAATGCCACTGCCACGAGTGGCACTACCTGATCAGAGCCGGTCTCGTCCAGAACGTCGTGAGCAAGGTAAGGAGCAGGGGGTCTCCCCCTTGGGCATCCCCAGCCTCGGGCATCCCCCTCCCGCAGCGCCGCTCCCGCACTGCACCCCTGGCCGCTCTGCTCCAGGGCATTTGGCTTATTTGCAGTCCTTAACTTGTGCCAGGGCTGAGCCCCGGCACCTCTAGGCTTGGCCGTTCATAGCCCCGGTACCTCTGGGCTTGTTGCCTCAGTTATGAAAGTAAAAAAATTGCTTGAGCCCCAGCACCTAATTGCTTGAGCCTGGGCACCTCTTTCATTACAAATTAAGCACTGCTTATTTGTTCCTCCAAGCAGGGGCGCTGGAACAATTTGTATAGTGGAGGTGCCTAGAGCCATTGAACCAAAATGTAAACGCTTTATATGATGGAAATCACTTAAAGCCAGGGGGTGCTTGAGCATCTCTAGTTCCAGCACCTATACCTCCAAGCTCATTAACACAAGCCAGCCTCACAACTGCATAGGTTGATCTGAGGGGCTGCAGAAGCTGGAGGACAAAATAAGCAAGATGGGTTTGACTGTGGAGTCATTTTCCCTGCCCCCAGGGGAGAAGGGATGCCCCTCTTAAACTTTGTGCTCAGACATCCAGGAGGGAAAGCAGGCTAGGAGGCAACTAGCCGGTGTCTGGGTCACATGCTTCTGAACCCTTATCTACTTCCTGAATGCCAGATTCTTTATAGGTTTGTTTTTCTAATGGGACTGGCATGAAGGAGATATATTACCGGCAGGTGTTGGTCAGAAGTTACACCCAGCTGTGTCATTGAACCTGAATCCTTAACTCGCAACAGCTCTTGTTAATGTAATTCTGGGCCTCTCCTAAACACAATTGCCAGTATTGCCCATTTCTGTGGCTGTTTTGAACGTGCATATACACAGTTCACTGAAGAATAGGTTGGCACCACTGGGCTTGTCATGAAGCATTTGAATCCACACATCCAGAAGCAAAAGCAATCAATAACCCATTAGCCAGCTAGCCTTGAATAAATCCCATGCTTTGTATCCTGATGTACTCTTTGAATTAATGTATTTAAAACCTGAACCTTTTTCCCTTTCCTCCTCTTTCCTACCTAGTCCAATATTCTAGACTTCTGTCTCAGGTTTACGTTTGAATGCATTTTTGTTATTAAGTTATAAAGTCGCGAGGGACAAGAAATAGGACGTGGGGTCTACAGTCAGTGGTTTATTTACTGATAAACTCATCTAATCTTCACAGTTTTCAGTGCTAGCACTAATCTCTCAAGAGCTACAAATCCATTGGGCTAATGAAAAGACTATTTTAAAATAAAACCTTTCTACAGGTGTATCATGGTTGCCACCAAACAGCAAAAAGAAAACACTTTTAAACAGAGAACCTCAAGTCATTATATAGGCTTCCCCTGTACCAATGCAGCATATTAAGTAGATCAGTTTTAGATTACACAACAAGCTTCTTTTCTGCAAAAGCTTTGAGGGTGGCAGTTAGTGAAGAACGTAGCATGAGTGGTATGCACTGTGAAATATAAGTATTTCTTTTTTGTTTTTAGTAAAGGAATAAAGGGAGACATGCATTTTAGGTATAGAAATCATTCTAGTCAAAAGGAAAAATGTATACATATAAAATGCTTTATTGCATAAAGTAATCCTGTAAATTATAAATATGGTTTATAGTTAAAGCTACAATGAACTGATAGTATTTCCATATATGCTAATTAGCATATGTATAGGATCACTTTGCCTTTACACGTGATGAATTTTAATATATGTTTGTTATTTACGGTAGCAGTGGTGCAAAAGTCTTTTTTGTACCATCTGTGTACAATTCTCATTGATATTAGTAAACAGCTGTAGCTCATGAGATATAAAATGAAAATGTTACATCATGATAGTTCCCTTAATCTCAAACCCCCAAAGCTCAGCAAAAATTAGTTCTCACATGGGAACTTTGTTTGGATTAACTCTGCTGCATTGCTTTCCTCAGTTAGATATGCAGTAATCAAATGACCAGTCTGGTTGCTCTTTCTTGCAGCCAGCACAGGCTCATATCGGTTGTTGGAAATCATTTCAGTTTTTCAGCATGTCCCTTAAAGTGTACATGGTGTGAAAAAATCAACCAGATATAGAGCAAGCAAATAAACCCGAGAAAAATTCACAAGCATAATGGGTCAAAATCTGTCATATCCCTTCTGCAAACATGAACGCACACACTGAATTTAGTGTTATGTGATCTAAAACTGCAAATCTGAAATTGTGTTTGATGGGAACAGATTATCTTCTGTTATGACTGGAGACTGAGCTATGCATATGTTCTAGGGCAGTGGTTTTCAACCTGTGGTCTGTGGACCCCCAGGGGTCTGTAGACTGTGTCTAAGATTTCTAAAGGGGTTCACACCTCCATTTAAAAAAATTTTTAGGGGTCCACAAATGAAAAAAGTTTGAAAACCACTGGTCTAGGGCAGTGGTTCTCAGCCAGGGGTTCACATACCCTTGAGGGTATGCAGAGGTCTTCCAGGGGGTACATCAACTCATCTAGATATTTGCCTGGTTTTACAACAGGCTACATAAAAAGCACTAGCGAAGTCAGTACAGACTAAAATTTCATACAGACAATGACTTGTTTATACAGCTCTATATATTATGCACTGAAATGTAAGTACGGTATTTATATTCCAATTGATTTATTTTATAAATTATGTGTTTAAAAATGAGAATGTAAGCAATTTTTCAGTAACTGTGTGCTAGGACACTTGTATTTTTATGTCTGATTTTGTAAGCAAGCAAGTGAGGTGAAACTTGGGGGTCCGCAAGACAAATCAGACTCCTGAAAGGGGTTCAGTAGTCTGGAAAGGTTGAGAGCCACTGTTCTAGGGCAAGCTCTTATGCCTAAAGCAGGGAGATAGCAATCCTAAAATACTGTGTGTGTGTGTATAAAACCTTATTAAAATGCTGAGAATCTTTTGAAACTTATTGTGAAGTTGACAATAAAAAGAGCAGAGAGCATTACTCTTTTATCCTGTAGGCTATAGCCGTGTTAAAAAAATGCATTCCTTGGAACAATTTAGCACATAGGGCAAATAGATTTTAATGGATAAATAAACAGCTGCAGTCCCTGCTGTCTTGTTTAATAAAAAAACAACTTTAACAGACTTCAGAGGGTTTTTTTAAGTATAGTTTTTATTTTTGGTGTGTGTTTGCTTCTTAAAACTTGGCAGATCTTTCCCACTAAGCTGTAATACTATATAATTACAATTATGGCATTTTCTAAGGGTCAGGATGCCTTTTCAGTTTTGGTTTATTACAAAGGAATGGGGAAGATGCACACACAACAAAGCATCATTTCACCCTGGCTCAATCTTTCTCAGGTGAATCCATGGGAGTTTTGTCATTGACTTAACTGGGAGCAGGATTGGGCCATAACTGTTAATTCCCATATAGGTATTCCAGCTTTCTTTGTAAAATGGAGCTGCACTGACTTGTTCAGAAAGATAGATGCTCAGGTCTCCCTCTTCTTCCCCCCTTCCTCCCCCCCAACTAAATAAACTTGCTCTTATCGCATAATGTTCCAATCTATCTAAATAGAGTTTTATGTAATGTAACTTGGACTAATATACACTCAGCTGTGTGGTAGCCAGGGGTTATATTGAAACAGCACACAGAGAGCCAAAAAAGTGTAAATAAAAAAAGGCACTTTAACTCAGCCAGTATATCCCCTATTTTTAATCTGCGTTGCTCCCAAGTAATAGAGGAAGAAAAGTGAGCCCTGTCACGTTCACCTACAATATCTCAGCCAAAAATTATTCATGTTTTTGGTGCAAAGTGTATTTTGAACTTCGTTACTTTTTGTTTTGTTGCTCTCTACTTGTTTTGTGTGTGTGTTTGGAATGCCACCTTCCTTTGTTCGTCTCTGGCAGGCAGTTGTCCATTTAATTAAATGGGTCACTTTAACTAGCTTCCCACCCTCTTTCCTCCTTCAATGGATTGCAGCCTCTTGCCCTATGTTATGCCTGGGACTTGCAGGGTTGAGGTCTTGTCACGTTCAGCACAGCTTTTCAGGGTATCCATTTCTGCCTCTTCTTGGGTCTTTGTTGGTTGTAGTGTTGAGTTAGCTGATTGATTAGTCTGCCGCAGAATGCTGGTTTCCTGGGGCCATGCATCATTCCTTGCCTTTTTGATATTTTTCAAGAAAGGCAAAGCTGTTCCAGGCATGAACGAAGCACTGAACTCTTGACTGAGTTGCACGGGGAGCTGCTTTTGAAAGCGCTGTCAGTCATGAGGAGCTGGAAAGAGTAAAAAGGACCACACCGTTTATTATTTAATATTGTTGAAATAATTACAAAGAAGAAGCTAACTACATAATTCAACCACAAGAATCTCAATGGCCATATTAAATCACAGATCTGGGTTAATGTCCTGATTCAGTGCATAAATCATGGACCTTGACATGGTACTTTAATTAATCTTCTTCTCTAGATGTATTTATATATTATTACAGTTGTTAAATGTTACTTTGAGAACTTGGACTTGTTTGTTTCTCACAACATTCACTTGTCTTGCGTAGATATCGGATGCAAATTTAGATGCGTGTACTTCCTGTTCATAAATGTCCTGGGCTGAATAAATTCTTGAGACAAAAAAAGTATCAGTAATTATAATATCCACCCCCTTATATGGTACTTTTCATCTCTAGATCTCAAAGCACTTTCCAAAGGAAGTTCCGTATATACTCGTTCATTAGCCCGTTTGTTTATAAGCCAACCCCCCAAGATGGATAGGTAAAAATAGCAAAAAATGTATGACCGTTTCATAAGCTGACTCTATATTTCAGGGGTTGGCAAACTTTGGCTCCTGGCCCATTAGGGTAAGCCGCTAGCGGGCCTGGACGTTTTGTTTAGCTGGAGCGTTCACAGGCATGGAGCCCCTCAGCTCCCACTGTCTGCGGTTTGCTGTTCCCAGCCCATGAGAGCTGCGGGAAGCAGCTCCTATTGGCTGGGAAAGGTGAACCGTGGCCACAGGGA